TAATATATATATATATATATATACTTTTCCAAAGTATCCTTCTTTATGAAAATATAAAAATATAATACGTGTATTCAATTAATCGCTTAGTTTGAGTATTTTAAGTATTCTTAACGATATTTTTTTAATACTTTTTTAAAATAAGTAATTAATTGGTCAATATTAATATTAAATTTCTATAACGTCTCTGTTTAAGTTTTTTTTAATAAGAGAAAAAATCGTTCTCAAGGGAAAAATGCATCAAACTTTTCAAAGGTTAACTGTTTAGTCGAAAAATGTTGCTTATTAAATTCCAATAAGTTCTAAGATAGTTTCAATATTAAATATTTCACTGTAGATTTATTTAAATAATTACTAAAGAAACAAATGTAATTAAATACTTTTTCTTAATAATTAATCAGACACTATGTATATATAAAACTGAATCGAATTGAAACGTTATCAAAGCATTTGTAAAGATTTACATACGATTTACATATTCGTTTGTAAATGGTTTGGTTAAAACTTGAGACAGTCCTTAAGTAATAAAAAAATAAGTTTACTGCAACATATGCTATTGGCAGATTTTTGTAAAATAAGAACATGGCATAAAGTTTAAATGTTGTGATAATATTTTCCTTCAACAAAGCTAAATATATTTTATTCTGCAACAATTCTAAAAATCAAAATAATAACAATTTTGTTACATTATACAAATAGTCTAAAATTTTGAACTCGTATTTGAAATAAAATTTTTTGAACTAAATTGTGAAAAAGAAAACAGATTTAATATTTAATATTATGCTCAGAGGCATATGTATAAAATTAACTCCTTGTAAATAATAAACATATGTTTTTTTAATAATTATTTTTTAAAAATAATTTTTATGAATTTTGTATACTTTTAAGGCATATTCTTATTAATTTTTGCAAATTTTTAGAAATGAAATTAGAAAAATAAAATTTTTTTTAAATGTCGTAGTGATAATCTCCTCAAAATTTCTCCTTAAAAGTAATTCTTTTTTCTGAGAATATATATGTGTGTTTTGCTCAATCATGAATAATAAACATCATCAGCCGATTATACGACGCATCATTGATCTACTTCGCTCCTACGCAAAGTTTCATTACTATGTATTGAATCGAAGTCAATCTTGATCAATCTTAGTGAAACTATACATTGCAAGCTTCGTTGATTAAATACAAGTCAACTCGAAAACAAATGTAATCAATTTTGCGGCCGGAAATACAAAGCGTAATTCCTAGCACATAAGTACTATACAAGTACGTTAATAAATTATATAAATATCATATAAATAAATAAAGTAGTAGAAGAAAATCTGTATGAAAAATCAATGAAATCAGTAAAGAAAATATTAATAAAGAAAATAATTAATTAATACAAATTAAACATTTTCATTATAATATATAATAGTATATGGCTTATATTATAGTATATGGCTTAGTTCAAATTATATAATTTATAATTTCTCGTAATATGTAATTTCTTATATGGTGATTGAATATTAATAAAGAATTGATACATTTTTGTTATATAAATCATAGTACTTATATAAATCAAACAATATAAAAAATTATGCAAATTATTATCGTTTTTACGAATAGGAATAAATTAGAAAGATTGCTTTGATATAATTTTTTTTTAAACTAACACGAAAATATTTATAACATAAAAGTGAATAATATTAAAAAATATATTTCAAAACAATATTTTTTACGATTAATAATTATAAAATTAAATTTAAATAAAAATGTATATATACTATGTATAAATGTAAATTATGACAATAATTACAAAGAAAATATTTGTGCCGATATGACAGAAATGATTATCGTGCAGTAATTTGCGATTTGCTTGAGAAATCATTATTGATGACAAGGACGTGGGATGGAAAGAACTCTGGTGACATTAAAGACGCGAACGCAATTAACTCTGGATTAATGACAGTGCTCCGGAAAGCATTTAGCGTGCCGGTTACGAAGCGAAAACTTAACAGTTGCGCTTAGAAGATTACAATTCTAATTTAATGAGTACTTATTAAAATGATCTCTTACGTAATGCATTGTACTAATTTTATCTTTTGCATAATCCGATTTTATTGCATTGAGATAAATCTATGTTAATAAAAACGTTTATGTAGAAAAATATAAAAAAATTATGTTAAAATTTTATAAAAATTATCTTAATTTTATTATTTCATTGCAATTTTTACCGTTTTATGTCAAATAAAATTTTTAAGTCTATCTGAAATAAATTAAAAAATGCAAAAGATTATATGTGTCAAGAAAAAGAGAATAATATTTACGCATATTTATTATTTATTTTTATACTTTATATTTATATATAAACCTAATTTTTAATGAGACTTGTGGATTAAAAACTTATAATTTATTTAAACATGATATTTTTGTTATTAAAAAGATTTGTTTGTACAATGTAAAAAAGTGAATTATGCAGCGCATTTTATAACTATTGTCGCTCATTTTTCTCTCTCTTTCTTTCTTTACGAATTTTTTGAATAATTTAGAATACATTTTTTCTTAGTGGAAATTTGATTGGACGTTTGTTTTCTTATAACTTTTTACAACTTTCCTCATTAAATATCTTAGCAACTAAGCCCCAATTTAAGATCTTTTTAAAGTAAAGTTTAATTGAAACCAAGTTAAAAGAACAAATTACCGTTATTAAAAAAAATAATAAAATAATAAAATAAATTAAATAATTTGATAAAATTTTTTACTTTCGAATATGTATCGAATATTTATTTCGCTATTTATTTGTAGTTGAAAAAAATGATGATAATTTTCGAAACTATTTACAAATCTATTTCGTGCTATATACGAATTTGCTTTCTCGATCTCATATCATCTGTTGATGATAAAGGTAAATTAATTTTAAATTTATTATGGAGTTCTCTCTCTCTCTCTCTCTCTCTCTCTCTCTTTCTCTATCATTTTCTCTCTGTTTTCTATATTACAACTATATGTCCCAGCAATCAATAATATATCATTTCATCATGATATAATCTCGTGTTCTTACGCATCGCGCCAGGATTAACGGGTCCATGTGTACCAGGAATTGCGAATGAAGCACTACTTACCAGTAGTGACTACACTGGGAAGTACTCCAGTTGCAGTGACGGCCGAGGGTGTGTCGGGCGCGACGGTATCTGCGACCTGCGTCTGCGTCGGTCTGGGGTCGTAGGTCGTCGTGCTGTCGACGTAGTCGGCACTAAGCTCATAATTCGTCATCGCCTGATGATTGTAATTCGTGTAACCGCCAGTGCCGGGACCTGACGATGTGTATTCGCTACCACCATACGTGTACCTGTCGAGGACAAATGATAGGTCCGCGTGAGTCGCGTCCATTCACGAAAAGTGCAAGTTAATCGGAAGAAGTAAAATAAAGATTTTCACAGTATTTATATTTGACTTCACATTGCGAAATAATATCTGATTACATTAAGCTAACATGTTTTTGCAGTTTTTACAAATTTCCTACATAGAGTATTACACAAATAAATTTTATTTAATAATACACACGTATTCTTAAAGAAATATATATAGTGAGTGCAATCAATTTGTTAGAATCTCTAACATAAATTAACGATTTTACATTAAATTACTGTAATTAACATAAAAGTATAATAATATTGTATTATTATTATTTTTTTATGAAATACTGATATTTACAAATTTTAAATATATAAATTACTCTTGACATTACTTTATAGATAGCACTATCTCTCATATATATTCCAAAATAGTCAATCTCATTAAGAATGATGAAAAGGAAAATTCAAGGAATCATCAACAAACATCAATTAATAATGCGTTTGATAAAAAAAAAATGTGTATCATAGGAATGAAGCAATAAAAATAAACTGCTTAAAACGTATAAAAAACCCAAACAAATTGACACGATAATTGTAGCAAAAGCAGTGTTAAATATTAATTTTATTTTCATTTTTATTTTATATAATTCATAATTACGTAAGTTAAGATTATCTTTTTAATACATTTTAGTGTAATTGTCCATTAAAAATCATCATGTGTATAAACCTTAATACTGACTTAATATTGATTTTATTTTTATACAAACTAAAAAGAAATCATATTTTTCGAATTATGGTTCTAATAATATGATCATCACTCTATAGTAAGCTTAATTATCCATGTTCCCCTCAATTTCAATATAAACTTCTAGCCACACTTACCCGCCATTATAAGGATGATGTTGATCCGAACTGCTCGGCGTCTGATGCTCGAATACACTGCTGTCTGGCGCCGTCTCTGAGGCTGCCCTCATTTGCGCCCTGTGGAATCTGACCTCATCTTCAACCTTTTCCCGTTGTTTTTTCGACATGCGCCCAAATTTAACGGCTTTAAACAAAATCAAGGATTTCATCAAAATTATAAATTCGGAGCATTACAAAAATTGAATCAATATTAAAAGTAAAATTTATTTATTTAGGTAATGTAATAATATGTAGTCATGTTTAGATTGAAACATGACTATGAAAAAGTATTTTTAAAAAGCGCTTTGAAAATTCTTTTATTACTTTATATTCTTATATGTATATATAGAATAGAAACAAGGCAAAATTGTTTGCCAGAACAAAATAGCAATAAAATCAAACTTTTATTTATTTAGCCCTTCACTTCGACTAACTTAAATCACATTGTGAGAGTACAGTGTAAAATATAAATTCCAAATATAAATTTTAAGATTTTAAGAATTCTACAAAATAATGCTTGGTTTAATTCTTTACTGCATTTTGTAGAAACAAACTTATACCATGCATGAATTTTTTATCACAACTTTGTTGTGATAAAATATCGATTCCATCTTACATTTGTTATACAATACGGATGACATAAAAATTTTATTCTAGTTTCTAGTGCGACTTTCAAATAAAGTAAAGTATCTAATCGTATATAATATTGTCAAACGCTTTTTTTCGATTATTGCTCTATCTTTCTCCCTCTCCTCTCTCTTCATTTTTAGTCGTCTCGAACTCATTATTGTCAATTATGGACAATAACAGATCAGGAGCGATCATCGATGGGACGATTTCGTTGCAAGGCGATAAAATCTAACGGGTATTTTACGGATCGATCAAGATCAAGTCGCACGTGACTCCTCCTACCGGTCGATCCCTTCCTCGCCACGAAGAAGGCTCGGCGAGGAACGCGGAAGAGCTTCGCTGCGTTCTCCTCGTCTTTTTCAGCGACGCTATCATCGTCTGGTCGCGACGCACCCACCCGATGACGTCACACACACAAACTATAGCTTGAACAAACGCATGTACTCTGTCCCGAAAATGTTATTCAGAGTATTTATAACTCCATGCACATATTTTTACATGTTTTTGATCTTTTCGATTTTTTCTTAATAAAAATTATGGCCATTTTTTTATATTTTTTTCAGAATTAATCGAAAATTAAGTGTTATTATTCTTTAATTAATTACAAGATAATTTACATGATTTTTTTAATCACTTTATTATCAGAATATTTAACCCTCCACGGCAATGTGAAACTTTCAATCTTGGTTTTGAAATGTTGAGGCCCACATCAGATTTATTTATTGTTCCGGACTATATACAAAATATTTATGTATTGATGAAATTAGCATCAAAACTATAAAAATGAGAAAATTTTTAATCTGTTAAAAATATTTATGCGGCCTGTAATATAGGTCGTTGAGTGTACACGCGACTTCTATATGTCGTTGGAAAACAAACACAGGCATACACACAACATTGCCATTTTTAGGATGGGATACTAAACTCTACCATATCTATCTATTCTCTTAAAACTTACAATTAAAAAACTATCAAAGTTCCACATCGCCGATAAAGAAGAATACATATAAAAGGTTATTAAAATAAAAAGTATTAAAAATAATAATACACTTATATATATATATATAAACATTAGTTTTTATTGATGGAAAAATTTATGACACTATTGTGTCTAGTTATCGGGAACTGTGTGTTTCATGTATCATTCCTAATATATTCTGAGAGCAATTTTAATCTCAATTTTGTCAAGGAAAAGTATTAAAAATAATAATACACTTATACATATAAACATTAGTTTTTATTGATGGAAAAATTTATGACACTATTGTGTCTAGTTATCGGGAACTGTGTATTTCATGTATCATTCCTAATATATTCTGAGAGCAATTTTAATCTCAATTTTGTCAAGGACTGACATTTTTCAATAGTAAAATTTATAGTAAACTGACATTTTACATTCGCGTGCATTTAGTGCTGCAAAAATACTACTTTGAAGAATTTATAACTTTTTGATTGCTTTGTAGACATTTAGTTTTTGAGTTCGAAATTAAATTTAAAATCACGTGGAGCATAAAGTTAAAATTTTAATTAACAAAAAAATCCTGTATATTCTCTTTTGCTTAACTCTGACAAATACGAAGATTAAATTTTATATAAATTAAAAAAATACAGGATAAAATTAATCTTAACAGACAGATATTTCGAAAACATTCAATTTTTCCAAAAAAACATTCTAAATAAAATTGCATGTTATACCGTCATTACATTGTACGCTCTACAACATACTTTTATATGGAATGTTACTTAATAAAATTTCATATTTTCGAAATATTTGTCAGTTAAAATAAAATAAATCATTCTGTACATGAATTATATCATTTAAAAATAAAATTTTTTAGTGTATAATTTTGTAATTAGAAAATTTTCGTATTATAAGTTCGTTTTTGGCCGGTTTTTATTATTAAAATTTATATTATACTTTCAATAATGAATAGGTCATAATTTATTTTACTTAGAAAATTTTCTTTTAGATCATTTTTCATTGCAGATTTTTTTGCACGTAAAATAAATTAATTCGACAAAACATGTTTCTTATTATTATATCTGATTAAAAAAAGTTATTAAGAAAAAAGTTTGAATTAAGAAAAACGTTGATTAATCAAAAGCATTCGTTTAGATTTTTCCTCAGATATTCTAATCAGATTAAAAAGATTTTTCGAACACTATCTGCGGTAGCAATGTATTGTTGATTTAGTGGTATCCTGTCACTACACGCGTATAGTCACGCGCGTAAGTCTCATGAGGGTGGTCGAGGGCTCGAATGACAATAGGGGGCGAGGGGTTGATAAGGGGGATAGCGATGTCAGCGGCTAACCGAATGGTTATCATGTGGTGGCACGGCGAGGAGAAGAGGGAGGAAGCGGAGGGTGATCGACCGAATGCGGATAAAGTATGGACGAGAGAACGAGACAGAAAGAAAAGGAAGGAGATAGAGACGGAGATGGCAACAGGAAGAGTATGCACTAACCGGTAGCTTACGATGCACTTTCTGGCATTCTGTGTACGCGCGCGTGCGCGCGCGCACGCATGCACGCTCACATGTTGAGTAGAAACGATGTAGCTTATCGCGCCGGAGAGTAAATAAAGCGATACTGAATCTGAAATACACGGCGAGACGGTTCCCGTTACTGAATCCTACTTTAATCTTTCGAGTTCGAGTTCTCATTTTGTTAAAAGAAATCTCTATGTCACGAAGTGCTTTTCAGGATCGTGATAATTAAAACTGATATAATTTGAGTAAATTTCGCGTGCATCTAAATACAATACGTCGTAATAAAACGTACATCTAGTAAATATAATATGTTTGAATTAATGCAATTAATTAAATGTAACTAATTAAATCGTAACTTAATTAATAAATTTATTTATTCTTAATTATCATCAAAATATATTTTTTGCATATGTGTCATTATTATTTTAAAAATAAATTTTAAATGCGTATATAGTATCTAATATAAGTAAAAATTAAAATTAAAAATTCTAATTTATAATCATAATTTATAATCTTAAATCCTTTCAAAATGCAAAAAAATTAGTGATAAATTTAATCTCAAGCATTAATTTATTTTAAGCATTGAAAACATTGTAAAATATGTATTACTATAATGAATAACATTTTTATTTGAATTCAATATACATTTCTTTGCATGAGAAATGTTATTAAATTTAATTAATTGTCAACAAATATGCAACTGTTATAGATTTTATTTTATATTGAAATTAAGCATGTAATTCCATTATTGTAATTAGCATTCTTATCGATAACACATGACTTTTTAATTATATATATAAAAGTTACATTTTTTATCGATTTTAGTCTATTCATTGTATCTTCTATGGTAAATAATTTTAATGAACCAGACTTGAATGTGAATCACGCGACGTTATTTGTCCGTAACCAGATAAAAAACCGCGTTTGATAATTGGCCATCAAAAAGCAGGAAGTTGTGGTTGTGCCCGAATATCGCGGCTGAATATCATCCGATTCATATGAAATGGAAAGACATTCCACGTTGTTAACTTGACATTGCGCAGTTATTTATTATAAAAGCACAAAATATAATACATAATTAAGTTAGAGTGATTGGAACATATAATATAAAGTATTAATATTGGGTTGTCCGATTGTAAGTTCGTGCCGATTTTGAAGGAAAATTGAAATGCAGAAGATTTAAATTTTAGTATACATTTATTAAATTATATAGGTTAGTCGGCACGAACTTTCCGGACAACCCAATATATTATAATTATAAAATATAAT